GTATTCTATATTTTCCATTTGTGTTGTAAAAAAATCATTTGTATTGTATAATTTTTCATTTGTATTCTATATTTTCCATTTGCATTGTATAATTTCTTATTTGTATTGTATAATTTCTTATTTGTATGCGATAATTTTTCATTCGTATTGTATCCGAGGATTGTTTATTTATTTCGTTACGAAGGATGTCATTGGTCATAAAATTTAGTCTGTATAAAGGTCTCAGGTGCCATCACAAACTTAGTCTGGTACCCTGCCCACAATTCCGATCGCGTACTCTCTACAAACACAAACTCGGCTCCTCTATTTGCGGTGCATGCTAAGGGACGACCATTTGATTCTCGGGGGGGGGGGTGTTGAATCCGATTATTTATTTTCATTCTCTCGCAGGAGAGAATATTTATTTCCAATATGACCAGAGACAAGGAGAAAAACAAAAAGAAGAAAATCCGCCCAAACCCGAAAACTCAGTTTTTTTGGGAGTGGGGGTAGTTACCACCACTCAAGGTCAATTTATTTATTTTCTCAGTCAGTATTCCTAAGGACAGATTATTTATTTGCCATCTACCAGCGCTCCCTTTTTAGAATCCAATGACCGTCTAACATGCACGCAAATACATATGCCGCCGAAATATGGCTGAAATATTGCCGACTCGGCGTTAAACAATAATCAATCAAGCAAATACATATGAGCCCAGTTTGCTTTGAGCATCCGGAACATCTTCAACCCGATACAGGCTGAAACTTGACCAATGAAATCCTTCGTAACGAAACAAATAAACAGTCCGCGGATACAATACAAATGAAAAATTATCGCATACAAATAAGAAATTTTACAATACAAATAAGAAATTATACAATGCAAATGGAAAATTATACAATACAAATAAAAATTATACAATACAAATGAAAATTATACAATACAAATTAGAAAATTATAGAATACAAATAAAAATTATACAATACAAATGAAAAATTATACAATACAAATGGAAAATTATAGAATACAAATAAAAATTATACAATACAAATGAAAAATTATACAATACAATTAGAAAATTATACAATACAAATAAAAATTATACAATGCAAATGGAAAATTATACAATGCAAATGCAAAAGATCGAATATTGCAACGTTTGACATGCCATACAGAACAACATTACCCCGGGGATTAATAATTTCTTTGAGTTAATAATATAGTTTAAAAAAAATCTCTTATTCCTAAAAAGTGCTGTTAGAATCCCACTGTCCGGTCGGGAAAATAATTATTCCACATATTCGCACGAAACCTTACCCGATGATTTGCATTATATAAATGTAATCCGAGATATTTCTTCAAACCGTTAACCTCATGATTCTAGCAGCACTTCCCCAGTATTATAGAAGGCAAGCTTTCGATATGTACAAATCTTATGTTTTGAAGTATCCAGCTTAGTATTGCTCTTTTGAATTATTGTTGTCAGGAACGACAGAGGAAAGGCCGGCCGGGATACGTAAATGTCTTACTGTCTTCAATAGAAGATGTAATCAATGAAAATAAATTAGCATAGCTGTTAAGGAAACTTTAACCTCACATGAATCAGACACAATATTCACAGTATCTGCTTCTAAACCCTCTTTTATGTATATTTTTACATGCCGTCTTAGCCAAATTTTCGTTACAGAACATGATCAATTTTCATGTTACTGTTGAACAGTTATGACGTCATTGGTCGGAGATTTTAATTCAAGTGACAAATACAGCATAACAACATAAAACATTTATTTTTGTTAATATTTGCAAGTTTCCATTCAATTTCATGAGTTAAATTATATCTCTGAATAACAATATTAAGAAAACTTCTGTTCTACAATTGACGTCATCTTGCCTACTATGACGTCATATTGTATCACTGATTTAGTCATGTCAGATTATCTAAAGTGCTTCTCAACACATCTGCGTTGTATTTTTACGATGTTGAATTTGAATCGAACAAGAAATGAGAATGAATTAAAACAAGGCATTATTTTATGATCAAAACCCATTTTTTCTGTAGCTGTACCAGTGGATGAATTTCTGTTGAAATTTTATCGGTTTCAAACGTCAATTTCTTCTTTGAGGAATATTTTAGAATAGAATTACAAAATTTATTACCAAATCATTCATTATCATACATCAAAACCTTACGCGTTATTTGAGCAGAAAACGTCAAAAACGATATGTTCGTTAAAGTGCGTGATTGCGGGGTTAAGATAAATGCGTTAAAATATGTGACTGCAGGGTAATGATATATGCTTTAAAATTCGTGACTGTGGGAAAGGGGGTTAAAAGTACATCTTTCTTATTTCAGAGAGTATAAATATTTTTTTTCTTATGATTATGTCAAATCGCACAAATACGAAATGCAGTGTAACTGTACAATTGTTTTCAGGTTGATGGGATTGGTGCCCATAGCTACATATTGTAATTCAGATAATAGTCCCTTTGACCTTAACATATAGTATGACTGATAAGGTACAATCCATTCCTTAAGCAGTAGATCAAGATTATTATTCATGATTACATACACATATCCTTCAATTTATGTAATCTGATATAGTAATAGCAATATATTGTTAAAGGTTCGAATTGGACATGGATTTCGATCAGCGATATATTGTTAAAGATTTTGAATAGGAACTACATTGTGAACTGATTGTGAACATTAAGATTGAAAATATCTTGCATGCAACTTTCTACACAGTTAAATTGTATATGAAAGATTAATTTAATGTTAAATTGATGAATATTTCCGCGTCTTAAAGAAAATATGTAACCGGTACACAGACTCTATATCAAAAAAAAAAATAAAAATGTTGTCCAAATTAAAATTTAACTTCAAATTTAATGTTCAGAGCAACTCATTCAGGCTTTAAGGAGGCTCATTACACCACTTTTTGATGACGTACTACACAGAAAAATAAACCTCCATTGTTTTGTCCGTTTTCTCCTGGGGACGAATTGTAGAGGTTCGCTTTGCTGATGATCTAAATCTTAAAAACGCTCTAAAAAATAGACTACATGCGATGTTGTAAACAATGGGAATTTAGTAACGGATTCATAAATAAATCTCGAACGAAGAAGGGTTGCTAGAGACCAAAGAGAATGACAGTCAAATCTTTGCTACCCAAGTAGTGTACAATGTCATAGCGTAAGCAGCAAGTTCTACCACTGACAACATGTATGCATAGAGGAAATTCGAGTTGAAATCTACAACCTCGTTGAAATAAATTAAAATTGTCTTGCGCTTTTAGAGTACTGTACTCTTGTTAGTTTGTGTGATTGTCTTTATTTCTTTGAAAAATGTATATTTATTCTAGAAATTTTAGCTTATTCTGAATCGGATATGTTCAACCGTTCCTGAGTGTTTTGAGTCAGGGGGATTTAGGAAAGATAACTCTTGCAAGTGGACTTTTTATTCCAATTATTTTATAAATTGGAATTTTCATTTCCTTAAAACATTTTTCATTCAATTTGTCACTTGTTATTCATTAATATACATTTCTTGTCTATTTATAACTGATTTTCCAAATTATTCATACAAAGATTAAGAAAATCACATTAATTCTTTTCTGGGAGAAAATTATTTTTTCTAATAAAAATAATATTGAATGTAATGAAGTGTTGTTATATTTCTTACATATCTGAAGATGATATCCATCACTTGACACTGAGATTTCTGCAATACTATTAATCAGAAACTTGAAATAAAACATTTTACCAAAATCAGAAAAAAGATTAAAAAATCTTTTAAAAATATTTATCGCATAATAACCTCCATTTGGATTTTTGAAATCTTCATAAAAAGTGGTGCTGTGATGAAATCTAAAATAAACTGTTGGTGTAATGAGCCTCCTTAAATGGATTCAAATTTAGAGAAGCATTTTTTTAAACTGACAAACAATGTGGTAAATGTAGGTAGATATTGTTTTAACTGATATCTACTAATCTTTGCCGTAGTCTTTTTTTATATTATTCATTTTTATTTATTTATTTTCATATTAATAAGTATTAATTTAATTTATGCACATGGTCACATATGTTACAGAAATTTAATGTGAATATGACACATAGAATGGCAAATCAATAAATCAATAAATCTGTGTATCTATGTTAACAGTATTATATGCCTTGGTGAAAGCAAAAATTGCAAAGTATTAAAAATAGAATTCTTGTTCGGGTAAACGAAAAGTTGCTGTGAGAATATATTTATTGATAATATAAATAAAAAAAATTATAGTAAACTGAAGTAAATATTTATTATTTAAGCCAGGGTGGCTCAAGATGCTGTTGTAACTGAAATAGAGACACTCGAGGTTTAAGTCACCTAGAATAAATAACAAGGGGCAATGAGGGTTGGTCTTCAGAGGATTATCTAAGACTTTTAGAATTATAAAGGTTACAAAACTATTCCTTTCTTGATTTTTTTGAATGGCTATGGATATCCCCTTTAAGAAAATTTCCTAGATCCGCCAATGTAGACTAGAAGACTGAATCATCAATTTCCTTTTCTTTTATACGATGATTAGATGATTTAATCATTGAAGTTGATTTAAATGTTGTAGCCTTAAATTTTCTAGAGAAGACAACTCTGTCTAGCAAATACTTTAACTGATGTGAAGCGATTCCATTTTGTACAAAATTTTAACATATGGTAATGCTTTTCTTTCTAACTAGCCGGAAAGGCCTGGGAAAATGCGATTACTATAAAGAGTTATTTTTCAGTATTAAAATTACAGAGAACAATAGATAGCGTAAAGCACGGTGAGGCCATTGCCAACGTAAAGCTCAATCGAGATTTCTTTGTCTTAAATTCCCCCCCCCCCCCCGAATGCAGCAATATCTTCCTGTCCAGATTTAAGCAGAATCAACCATTTGTTAGTAATATATTCTGTTTTAAAACTGCTACAGTGTGCAAGCTCACTTTTCCTTTTAAAGAAAAGCCTTGTACATGTAGCAGTAATAAGATGATACTTACGGAATCACATCTTCCAATCATTATCCATATGACACTAGTAGTAAAACACATTATTTTAATGTACGTGTTACAATTCATAATTGGACCTCGCATTATGAAGAAAAGCTGCGCCTTTGGAAGTTTATTAACATTACACAACGGACAACTCTTTATATATAGATATTTCCTAATGAGAGCGATTAACATTGCTTTAGTCTAATGTGAATTTCGCAATCACTCATCAAAATATTTTTTTAAAATGCATTTCGCAATCACTCAACAAAATAGGACAGATTGGCCTAAATTAAAGTAAGTGTAATGAGCAAAAATAACCTCCTAAAAATCATTTGCCCAAATTGGAGAATGAATCCAAATTAAGTCCATTTCATCGTAGGTTTCAAAATGTCAAAGATCCATCTATCCTCTAATGTATGAATTGTTTTTTGATTTATTGACAAAAATAAGAAGAAAAATTTTAACACTGTGAAAATTAGATTGATGGGCATTTAGTGAATGTGAATTTTATTTTTACACGTCCGATCCGATGTGATTTTAAAGTACATTTTTTTCTACAATACAGAGCAGTTTCCCTGTAAGTCAAAATTTCTTTGGGAAGTTTGAGAGAATCATAAAAAAAAAACAAAAGCCTCAAAGTTGAGGAAGGATGCCTAAAATATGTACCCTTACACTATGTACTTTATTGCCAAAACAACTTTTGTTTATCATTTCGACCATTTATTATAAAAGTTTAAATGATTTTAAAGTAGAATATTACCCTTTTTGGCAAAAGATGAAGAAAAAAAACTTAAATTTGACGCGGCGCTGCTAACGAACCCGGGCCTCCAGATTACAAGGCGAGCGTCCTACCACTAGGCTACCGTAACCGATAGGGTTCATTTGAACATTTGCTGTAATTTTACTTTTGATAACATGTATTTTTCAGAATGATAATTATTGGGCTAAACTAATGAATATTTTGACATTACCAAACGATCTTTCAACGTAAATAAGTTAAGGAATCATCACAGAAAAACACAATTTAACCCCATCTCCATGAAATAATTTGCGATTTTATCTGCATAAGAGTAATAAACTACATCAAAACTTACCACTGCATTCATTTTTATTGCTAGTTAAATTCCACACAGCAAGATATATAAACAAGTCACTAATCGCAATGCACTTGTCGACATGACGTCATCATGGTAAAAATTGACGCATTTTATGTGCAGTGAGAGGCGGATAAATTAATTTTTTCAAAGTGAAAAATGCAAATTATTATTAAACAGAATATTATTCGCAAATGTTAAGCAAACCATTAATACAAATCTGATACCTTTGTTTAGTGCCATTATTTAAAAACTATCGAGATACTGTACTGAATTAATTCTACCGTGTTTTTGTACAGGATTTGTATGTTTCACGGCGAGGTGCTTCATTAAATCACCTTTTTGCAAGGGCATACATTTAATAGATCTTGACCATTTTTTAAATATACATAATGGTTACATTTCTTAACTTGAAAAGTGCTGCTGCTTTCCTGAAATCGAGAGCACTACTTAATAAATCAATAAAATACTTCGTAAAGGTAACACATATTTCGACTAGATCGAAATAACTTGAAATTTAAACTGATAAAATGCGAATTCTATTTAAAGCAGCTGCACTTGCCAAAAACTACAAGTTTCGTAGAAACAATGTATTACTTTTGTTTAATCTAGGGTATGCCCTTGCAATATTGAAATATGTTGATGACCTACATACAGTACACATTACATACATTTATTTAACGTAGATACTTTTAGTTGATTTATAATTGATGGTGTTAACTGATTAAAATCTTTGCTGTTTCGTTGAAATTTGAAGATTCATTTTCAGGTTTGTATCGTAAACATATTTTGAAGAAAAAAAATATTATGTTGAATTGCAGACGTGTTTTGATGTTTTACTTGAAAGAGACATTAATGTCTTTTTAACAATTAACGAAAAATAGCTAATGCTTTTTTTCTTATTTTTCTATTCGTTAGTTTCTTTTCCGGATGGAACAGTTATATTGGTTTATGTATCCCAATCGGATCGATATGCAAGGACTAAGGAACACTTTCAAAAGCAAGACAGGTTACTATTGAATAAGTTGCAGTATTGTCAGCAATTGTATGGACTTGCGTGTACTGTGTGGGAAGTTGTAACAAAATGAATTTTAAGATAACATTTCCTAAATACAAATTTTTCAGGTTCATGAAATTAAATACGGTAGGTATAAATACTTAAAGATATAATAAAACTTTCTTGTCTTCGTAGGTTTTCTTTAACCTTGTTTATTGTGAGGATCCTCCCCCTTTTTTTACATGACATGTAATTATTGCGTTCATTCTCAGTAGTTTCCATCTTGTAAGTTTGATATTTGCTTAAAAAGAAGTCAAGAGAGAGAGAGAGAGAGAGAGAGAGAGAGAGAGAGAGAGATTTAATTATTAAGACTTACCGGTAGCTGTGCCTAGCTGATCTGATAAAAAAATTGATAATAAATAACATTTATGATTGTATAGGGTACAAATTATCTACGAAATAATTGATGTTGTATTCTTTATAAATCAAATGTGAAATTTTGTCAATTTTTTTTCAAAATGCTTCCAGTTATTTTAGGCCTTCAACAAAATCTTTAAAAAAAACCCACATAAAATCATGTGTTTTAAAGTTGAGGTTTAAAGTGATCTAAAACTAAATTGCAGATTTCACAAATCTGAATATCTTGATGTGGTCTTTATATACCCGAACATGACTGCAGGATAGTAAGAAAGACTAATCTTGCCTCTTGCCAAAAAAAAGATATATCTGAATGGCGAGAAACAACTTCAAATAAAATTAACGAGACGACAAACTATGCGTAAACTTTTTTAGTTTAGCAGAATCATGAACACTTCCGGCGTGCTGATTGTTTTATCTATAGTAGTGAGGAGGCCTTTGCCAAACTGCGGGAGCGGATCAAAGGATTTTCAATTAATAAAAATGATGGATATTAAGTTTCAATAATTTTAAATATCATGAATGAAATTATTCACATGCAAGTAATACATTCACAAGAAAACTCAAAATGCTAATGAATTCAGCTGATAACCATCGAAAACTTCTAAAAAATACATGTATTAAAAATAATAAATATAAATTCTATAGAAAAACAGAAGAAAAATAAATGGTGGTAGAATATCAGATCACATCAGCGTCACTGTATTTTATTCATGATACCCTTACGATGTTTCCTATCAATTATATTTGTTTCGAAAGGGGCGGGTGTATTAAAATAGACATGCAAATTAACCCTCACTTTGTACTAAGTATGAAGCCTTAGCATTTTGAAAACTTTATGACGAAGGGTTGTTTGTAAAATGAAGGTCAATGACATTTTATTTAGAATTGAAGACGTTAAACAAAACTTGCTTTGTTAACAATTAGAGAAAAATGGCAGAGAGGAAAAGGAGGGGGATAAAATACTAAATACTACTAAGCTATTGTCTTCTTTGTTTGAAAAGTGGTAAAATCAAATGTGCCCACAAAGTATATACCATATACAATTCTTTTTATTTAACAGAAACTCAATGCTATGACACTATGAAGGTTTTCCGTGTCTTCTCCGTCACCAGAAAAGTCATACCTCTGCACTTCATATTATGTGTATTACTCCAGTAATGTGCCTGTAAACTACATAAATGAAAATAAAATGAATAGTTTGTAGTGTTTGAGGAAACGTTGGTCCTATGTTTCTTTGGATATGTTAAGATATTAAATTTCTTCTTAAATCAAACAAAAAAGAAATCGGTAATATTTAAAAGCTTCATGGATCGGACCTTATATACCCAAGGATTATAACGGAAAAAGAAATTAAGAAGACAAAGAAATTGAATAAATCACAATTTAAAAAGATGAAACATAAACGTTTATACAACGTTTTTGGCCACTCGTTTCAGGAAACTGCACTTAAATGATTTTTTTTCCATTCTAATGGAACATTGGAGAAAATTTTAAATGAGATTTGTTAAACTTCGAATAGTGATTATTTCTGTTGAAGGTTTCAATAATATTGTCAAAGCCTTTACGAGAACATTCAAGGACAAAACCAAGTGTGGAAACATTGCGAAATAGATGACTCGACTGCCGTTTTTTTTTTTTGATTAATCGTTCTTTTTGTCCATTCTGTTCCATTATTTTGCAGGAATCACTTTGATAGGATGCGACTTGCAACTCATTAAAATTACAAAACAGATTTTATGAAAAATTAGTGAAAAAACGAAATAAAAAAAAAATCTGACTTTTTTCTGTTGCCATGGCAACAGTGATAAGTCTGAAAATTTTTAAGGGTTTTAGCACAACTACAGTTTGTGATTATCATTTCTGCCAAGTTTCAGTAAGTTTGTCCAGGTCATTTTCTTCAGAATCTTTCAGGACGAACTCACCAGCAATTTATCACCAAATTGGTCACATGCACTCCTGGACGAAAAAAGTGCTGAGAATCCCAAATTTTACTGATAATGTTTGATAATTACTGATACTGTGCTGTTCTTGGTGATAAATACTGATATTTACTGTTATTCTTATTGTTGTTACTGATAATTTAAGTTGTTTCTGATAAATACTAATAATTACTGTCGTCTTTACTTTTGAGTCTGATAAATACTGTTGATGTGCTGTCGATGCTGAGATTTACTGATAATTACTGTGGTCATTGTTCTTTAGCTGAGAAGGTACTAAAAAGCTTGAGTGATGATTAATTATTTTAAAGAAAGTATTTTATCAACAACATTCATTACAATCTACTTACTAGTTAAATTCTAAATGAAAAAGTCACATGAATTATTTGTTTTCACATTTCATTATTCATTTATTTATTTTTATTTTATCATTATTTTTTTTTTACATCTTAAATGTTAAAATTATATAATAAATGTTTATGTTTTCCTTTATCTTTATATTTCTCCTTTGTTGTCAATATCTGAAGGGGGTGTTCATGCAGTGGTTACTCTGTCTGTACAGATACTTTTTAAAATAATTTTTTATTCACAAAGGTTTTTTTTTAAATCCCATCTCATATTTTTTCCGCGTTAATTTGTACTGTCGTTAAA